CAGAACCTGGAAACAACCTAGATGCCCGTCAACTGAAGAATGGATTAAGAAAATGTGGTACATATACACAATGGAGTACTACTCAGCAGAGAAAAGTAACTATAGCATGAAATTTGCAGGCAAATAGATGGAACTAGAAAATATCATCCTGAGTGAGATAACACAAACCCAGAAGGACAAACATGGTATGTACTCACTCATAAGTGGATTCTAGATATAAAGCAAAGAACAATCAGACTGCAACCCACAGATCCAGGAAGGCTATATAGCAGGGGGGACCCTAGGATGACTGTGGCTTATAATAAGATTTGGTTTTACTCAATTACTGAGCAAGCCTCATTGAAACATTTCACTATTAAGATAAGAATTTATACTGTATCAAGGTGATAATAGAAAAATAAGGAAATTAATTTAAAAAACCAAAAATTATACTTTTAACACTTTTCTGAGTAATTCAGAAACCTGGGCAAACCTTGGTTGTGGCCATCAGCTCGTATACGACAGGCAGGTAGAACAAGCCGAGCATCTAATTTAAAGGACTATTTTGCCCATCTCTCTAGTATGGCTTCAAATGAGCCTGCATTCCTAAGAGCGGTCGGTCCCTCGATCAAGCGATTGACAGCCCAACTGGAATGCTAGGTCTTACCTGCTTACATGGTAGTTTCTAGTTCTATTCTAACACTACGGAAAAGATGGGTGTTGCACATAGCTTCCCAGGAGCCTGTAGCAGAACTGAGGAGGCAGCGAGAAACAGGTGGCAAGCCAAGTCAGGGAAAGGGGGCTGGCAGTCTGAGGTTTCTGGAGGAAACATGCTACGCACCACAAGGAGGGGAAGTGCCGTCCCGAGGCTCAGACCTATCCAGCCTGGCTAGGGGGCTTCTCTGCGTAAGCTGTGAAAGTAGTACAATGGGGCTGGAGAGATCACCCAGTCAGTAAGAGCACTGGCTGCTTTTTCAGAGGACCCAGGTTTGGTTCCCAGCATCCACACGGCAGCTCACATCTGTCTGTAACTCATTCCAGAAGATCCGATGGTGCCCTCTTTTGGCCTGACAGACACCGCATGCGTGGTGCATAGAAACGAACACGGGGAAACACCCATGCTCATACACATAAATATACTTACAAACTACAGGAGAACCCATTGCTCTGTGTAGTTAACATGGAGGCTCAAGCCTCCCCTTGGGAGCTTTGCCAAGTATGTGGAGAACAAGGCAGAACAGCTGTCTACAGGTACACAGGCAGGCTGCACACTGTCAACAGAGCCATCTCCACACCAGGCGGTCATTTCTTTATTGATTTTTTTCGTTACATAAAATCAGGAATTATGCATTATGAAACTTCACATCCACACAAGGGCAAAAAATAGAAGTTTATTGTAGCCGGGCGGTGGTGGCGCATGCATTTAATTCCAGCACTCGGGAGGCAGAGCCAGGCAGATCTCTGTGAGTTCGAGGTTAGCCTGGGCTACAGAGTGAGTTCCAGGACAGGCTTCAAAGTTACACAGGGAAACCCTGTCTAGAAACACCAAAAAACAAACAAACAAACAAACAAACAAACAAATAAGCAATCAGGAAAAGAATTTCTATTGAACAAAAGAATCACCCGAAAATATTTTTTTTTTTTGAGACATCTCCATAGGATAGCTTTGAACTTAGGCAATCCTCTGGCCTGTCTCTTGAGTGCAAAATTTTAGAAAGTGTACCACCACATGTCTGCTAAAATGCATTTGGAAAAAATCAGAGATGTGGGCTGAAGTGTAGTTCAGGGGTAGAAAATTTATGAAGTCCCTGGGTTCGATCCTTAGCATTCTTCCCACCCCCCAAATTGAAAAAGATAAGGATTTTTTTACTGATATCACATTGGAATCCTCCCAGTCACCCCCCCACCCCCCGCAAGGGTGACAGGGTTTCACTCTGTAGCCTTGCCTGGCCTGAAGCTGTCTATGTAGATCAGGCTGGCTTTGAACTCAAAGAGATCCTCCCCCTATGCCTCCATGCCCAGCTACACTGAGATTTTAATAAGGAACATGAAACAAATATAAGCACTCCATATAAAATACAAGTTGACAGAAGAGCATTCATGTTGTAATTGAAAGCAGAAAGCTTTTGGAGTTGACTGATTAAATCACATTATTTCCCAGCAGTTCAGCTTCCTTATTTAGATTAAGGAGTGCTGGGAAAGGCAGTCCCATGCACCCCTAGGAATAGTCCCCGGGCTAGCAACACTTTATGGAAAAATAAAGAGCAAGCAGTGCAGGCACCTGGCTTATGGTCTGGGCTTGGAAGATCTTTCCTTGCGGCGAGTTCAGTGCCAGCTCCTTTTGCCCTGAGTAGGTGTAAGCCGCGTTGGCACCTGGTCTTGAACCTTCCATTGTGGCTCCAGGGAGGAGTACAGAGTTGATTGTCCTGGGCTGCCTGCTGCCGGGCAAACCACCTCTGCCTAGGCAACTCCATTTAGGGGCTTGGTTGTATTTCGGTTTGAGACTGCAGTTTGAAGGTACAGGAGTGGAAATGATGACAGGCACAGCGGAAGATCTCCATTGTCCTCCCCGTGGTGAGGGTCCCTCTGGCTGGGAAGTAAGCTCAGTATCTGCTTCCCTGGATCGGTACCTGGAGCGTAGTGATTACTTAATCTTCACCACATGAGGCTGGGGTCAAATTCTCTCTCTCTCTCTCTGGTATTTCGAGGCAGGGTTTCTCTGTGTAGTTTTGGTGCCTGTTTAAGATCTCACTCTATAGACCAGGCTGGCCTCGAACTCTGCCTTCCATGTGCTGGGATTAAAGGCATGCGCCACCGCCACCCAGCCGTCAAATTCTCTCAAACCGCATGTCAGAGGCAGTGTTTCTTAGCTAAATTTTAATTTTGTAACTTAATGTCTTCCAAGTAAGTCTACTGGTCTTTATCGCAAACATGAATCCATTACTTCCGTCTCCTCTGACATCAGGTATCAGCACAGCGGGTCTGCATCGCCTGGGTCCTGTTTCTTTTGCTCTGCTGCAGGTCCAGTTTTCCTTTCTTCCTTGTATTTCTTCCTCTTTTCCCAAAACCATTGGAAGATCTGGGAAAAATGAGATTAACACAGGAATAAGGATCGTGGTTTCTATTCGCCACTTCCGTGTTAACAACCAAACAAAACCCGCTAGAGAAAGGAAGGCAAGATCCGTCAGCTCCTGGTTTCAGAGTGCTCCACCCATGGTCACTCTTCCCATTAACTGGGGCCTGAGATGGGGTGCACCATCAAGGAAGTGGGAACACATGGACCACGAGGCTGGTCACCTTGTGGTGGACATAGGCAGAGAAAGCAATACTAAAAGGCACTAGCTACAACCCCTCTTCCATTGAGTCCCAAGGGCTTAAAATCCATTGATTAGGTTAGAACTGCCAGGATTCACTTGAACCTATAGTACATGAATCAACGTGTGGGATGGACATTTCTTTCATTCTTAAACTCACAGGGGCTGAAGAGATGGTTCAGCAGTCAAGAGCACTGGCTGCTCTTCCAGGGGTCTTGAGTTCAACTCCCAGCACCCACATGGTGGCTCACAACCATCTATAATGGAATCTTGTAAGAAACATGTAAGACCTAGAGTGAACAACCCTGGTCAGGAGGGATAAGTAATAGAATGACGTAAGTAAACCACAAATGGAGTAGTGATAAGCTATAAACTATGTGTGGAAGTAGGGATAAGACTAGAAACCTAGCCAGAAAAGAATATAAAAGATGAAGCCTCAGACCCGACCAACAGAGCTTGTCAGGCCCTCTCGTGAGATGACTCTCCTCCGCCAAAGACGTGAGATCCTGTCCCCAGTGCAGATGTGGCTGACCTGAGGAAGGCTGACCCAAGATCCAGAGGAACAGACATGGAGAGTCCGGACCTGTACACCTACCTGGAGAGGTACCCCTGCTTCCATTTGGAAGACGGGATAAATATTGCTTGTGATCTTACTGTGTGAATAAATGAGTGTTATACCAAGTCTGAATCAAGAGTGATTATTCCTCCCCCCGTAACCAGGGTATGTGCTCGCTACAGATCTGAAGCGGATGGGGCACTCATAAATAATACATACATAAAACAGTAAATTAAAAAACACAACAGTTAAGGAACAGCATCGCGAGAGTGATGTGAACGGGAGAGGCCGAGTACCTGCTTATCTGTCAAGCTGAACTGAAATGACAGCAAGTAACAGTCTTTCGCCGTGGGGAGCAGTCTTGATTTAAACCTCGCCCACAGAGTGTCCATGAGGGGTTTGCTGACTGACTTCTCGGGCCTTGGCACCTGCTTTTTCTGCTTTACGCGTTTCTTCAGTTTCGCTTCTGGTTTCTTCCTCTCTTCTGTCTTCTTCTTCCGTCCTCCCTTCGAGCTGCTCCAGCTGGAGTGTTCTGGGTCTTGTCGCCCGTGGTGTGCAATTAGTTTTTTTTTTAAGAGATCTGTAGGATACAAGCAAGCTGTGAGTGTACTTTCAGATCACGCTTAACATCCTTCCACATTAGAATATATTTGGTTTTCAGTGTGAGTGTGATTCCAATATTCTGGAGGCTGAGGCAGAAGAAGGCCAGCCTGGGCTGTGGTGAGAATCTGCTTCAAAACTTTTATTATTATTATCATCATTATTAGGGGTGACCTTGAATTATTTTTTTATATACATTTTATATAAACAGGAGTGACAGTTTGGTGGTCATAGCCCTTGAGGTTGACCAGAAGGCCTTGTGCCTGCTGGAAAAGTACTCTACCAACAGGGTTATATGCCAACCCTGAAAGAAATAGATGTAAAATCATTTACCTTGATTTTCTTTTCTTTTCTCTTTTTAAAGTTTTGTTTATTTTTATTTTATGTTGTTAAACCCAATGGTCAAGAATAAGAGCACTATCCACAGTTTAAAGCCAAATCTGAAGCAAGCTTTAGTTAAATACTGGCCAGGTCCATACCCAGCTTCCAAGGAAATGGTCCCAAGTCACATTTTGCAGGGGCTTAAAAGGTAAATAAAACCCACAATTCACAGCATTTTCCATCAGGTCCAATCCAGGGCAATCATACATCCTGATGTATTTCCTACCTATCTACCTCCTGCCTACATCCAATCAGAGGCAAGGGTACATCCTGACATAGTCCCCCATAAACAATAGCCTTTAGCATTTCAGGAACTATCTGTCCTTGGACAAGGGGCTTGCAAATCAGAGGCATTTTTGTTTTATGGATGTCTTACATGGAGTAATTAAAATTTAAAATGCAACTTTGACTCTTACAATGTGTTACTTGCCTTTGTGAGTTTATATGCACCATGTTCATGCAAGTACCATGGAGTCCAGAATAGGGTATTTGATGAGCTCAAACAGGGAGTTACAGAAAGCTATGAGCCACTACGTGGGTTCTGGGAATCAAAACCTGGGTCCTCTATAATAGCATCATGTGCTCTTAATTCCTGAGCCACCTCTCCAGCCCACTTTACCATGTTGCAGGAAACCAAAGCAAACAAAAAAAGAAAAGGATGCAGCCAGATGTGGTAGTACATGCTTCTAATCCTAGTACCCAAGAGGTCTGATGCAGCCGGAGGCATCACAAGACCTGACTTCAGACAGGTTTACATAGTGAGACCCTTCTACAGAAAAAGGAAGAGGACGAGGAGAAAACGAGCTTAAAGTGTGGCCGGTGGTAGACCAGGGTTCTGGGTTCTGTCCTCAGTACCACCCAAACTATTTTTAGTTTTGCTTAATGTTGACTTTCTACCTATTTTTCACTTACTCCTTTCCGATGTTGTGACATTCTCCATGTCCAGGCTTTGCTTCATGATGTGAGCACACTTTCAGATCCAACTTAGAGGGGCTGGTTCTTAGAGATGAAAAAAATCCTCAGCACCACGGGGTTTTAACAAAGAAAAGTCCTAAAAGGGAGAAAAGTGTAATGATGCTGATGAAATATGTATTTCAAGCTGTTAAAAGAAATGAGTTTTCTGTTCCTGAGAACAATCTCTCAGCAGCCCGGGCTGCTCTTACAGGGAACCCAGCACTCACCGGCAGAGCGCGACCAGGTGAGACTCCAGGCCTGGGTGTGTGACGCCCTCATATGTGGTACAGAAACATACAGATAAAACCAAAACCGAAACCGAAACCGAAACCGAAACCGAAACCACACCCAATAAATAAATTCTTTCTCTAACATTAAAATAAAATTATTAAATCTGTGCGTCTGAGACCAGCCCGTCTGAAGAGTGCATTTTCTATGTATCCAGGCAGGCCTGAATAGAGAGACTGCCTCAAAACCAAAAACCAAAACCCAGCGAGCACGCGGCCTATGGTGGGTGGGGAGGCTATTCAGCAAATGGTACTGACAAGCCGGGCGGCGGTGATGATGCACGCCTTTAATCCCAGCACTCGGGAGGCAGAGGTAGGCGGATCTCTGTGAGTTCAAGGCCAGCCTGGGCTACAGAGTGAGTTCCAGGACAGGCGCAAAAGCTACACAGAGAAACCCTGTCGTTTCCCCCCCCCCCCCCCCCCCCCCCCCCCCCCCCAAAAAAAAAAAAAAAATCAAACAAACAAGCAAATGGTCCTGACAACCAGGAATTCACCTGCAGAACAATAAAATATTTTACTCTACACAAAAACCAATTTGAAACCCGAAACACTGCAACTGCTAGAGAAAAACGCTAAGGAATGTGCTTTGAGTGAACGGCAGGGTCAAGAGCTGAACACAGGAAACAGTCTTAAGGATTCATAAGTGAGATTGCCAGCACACCGACTTTTCCAACACAGTAAGTGAAGTTACCAGAAAAGCCTGTCGGCTCAGACAAGGGCTTGAGGTCTATAATATCGAGCCCGGCAGTGGTGGCGCACCCGCACCTTTATTCCCAGCACTCGGGAGACAGAGGCAGGCCTGGTTTAGATATATGTGCTGAGTTCCAGGACGGCCAGGGCTACAGTGAGGGCCTGTCTCAAAAACAGCCCCAAACAATCAAAAGGTAAACAAGTAAGTGACTGAGCCCACGGCGACCCGAATTCAGTCCCCAAGGCCAAGGCGGTGAAGAGAACACACTTCTCCAAGCTGGCCTAAGACCTCCACAGCTGTGCTTTGGATGTGAACGCACAAATAGAAAGACATTTCTTTTAATTAAAAAACAAACAAACAAACAAACAAACAAGAAACCAACTCCCTAGCTGGGCCTGGTAGTCCACACCTTAATTCCAGTGCCCCGGAGGCAGAGGATCTTCTGAGTTTTAGATCAGTTTAGTAGGAAATTCTAAACCAGGCAGGGCTTACATAGAGTGCCTGTCGAATAAAATCAATACAAAATTCAGCGAGAAATCCCTTTGACTTCTTGTTTCTCCCTACCAAACCCCATCTCCAGTCCTGAGGCAGGACCTTGCTATGTATGTAGCCCAGGCTGGCTCAGCGTCTGGAGTAGTCAGGATTACTTCCAGGCATGCCTGTCTCAAGAACTTCAGTGTTAATAAAGGAAGACCACATAGAATTGTAAACTTCATCTTTTGTTTGTTTCTTTTTTGTTGTTGTTGTTTTTTTCAAAACAGGGTTTCTCGGTGCAGTTTTGGTGCCTGTCCTGGAACTCCCTCTGTAGCCCAGGCTGGCCATGAACTCACAGAGATCCACCTGCCTCTGCCTCCTGAGTGCTGGGATCAAAGGCGTGCTAGGATCAATAGCCACCACTGCTCAGCCCTAAAACTTGATTTTTAAGAAAAAAAAAAAAAATGTGTGAAAGTTTGGGTAACTTTGCTTAGATTTACATTATATAATTAAAAAAAAAACACTGAAACTATGAGGAAAATATAAATGAAATCAAGACGAGGAGGGATTCAACAAAACTCATGTTTCCCCCGGTTTTATGTTACTAATTACACAGTATCACTGCCTTCTGAATTATAAAGAATAAAATCGTTTCAGCTCACGGTTCTGGATGTGAAAGGTCAGAAGGCTCCCGACGGATGGCGGTCTTGTCTCCGGAGAATCCTGAGGCTGTGTATGACCGTCACAGCACTTCAGCCCTCTACTTATAGGAGCCACCAGAATTCAATTGCAGAGGCCAACCCCTAACGATGACGTATACAGTCCTATCAATCTCCAAAGGCCCCACCCCCAAACACCAAGATCTCTCCACCCTCAGAGTCATTTGCTTGAGACCCGCCCTATTATGTTGCCTAAGCTAGCTTTAAACCGGTCTCAAGTGATCCTCCAGCTTCAACCTCTTGGGTGCTGGGACAACTTGGTGTGTATGTCCAACCCCTAAACCGGCGGTTCTCAACCTATGGGATGAAACTCCTTCCCAGGAACTGCATATCAGATATCCTGCACACCGGGTTTTTTGAGACAGGTTTCTCGGTGTAACAGCCCTGGCTGTCCTGGAACTCACTCTGTAGATCAAGCTGGCCTCAAACTCACAGAGATCCGCCTTGCCTCTGCCTTCTGAGTGCTGGGATTAAAGGCGTGCACCACCACCCACCGGCGCACACCAGATATTTGCATTACAATTCAGAACTGTAGCAAAATTACAATTCTGAAGTAGCAACGAAATAATTTTATGGTTGGGGGTCACCACAACAAGAGGAGCTGTATTAAAAGGGTCAAAACAGTGCAAAGGTTGAGAACCACTGCTCTCGAGAACCTAATACACAGACATACATAAAAAGGGTTTATTAGAATTGCTTACAGGCTGCAGTCCCGCTAATCCAACAGAGGCTGGCTACGAATCCAAGAATCTGGATGATTCTCAGTCTGTGAGACTGGAGGTACAACTGGTCTTCAGTAGATGCTGGAATCCCAAAGTTGGCTCTAATGCCAGTGAAGGAATGGGTTTCCTAGCAAGGCGAGGGCAAGCAGGCAAACAGCAAACAGCTCCTTTCCATGCCCTTATATAGGCTTCCGGCAGAGGGTGTGGCCCAGATTAAAGATGTGTCTTCTGCAGTCTGGAGGAAAATGGCCCCAACAGGCCCTTGGAGAGTGGCACTCATAGGCCTTGTTGGAGTAGGTGTGGCTTGTTGGAGGAAGTGTGTCACTGTGGGGCAGGCTTTGAGGTCTCAGAAGCTCAAGCCAGGCCTGGTGTAATTCAATCTCCCTTCTTGCTGTCTGCAGATCCAGATGTAGAACTCTCAGCTACCTCTGCAGCACCATGTCTGCCAGCATGCCACCACGCTTCCCACAATAATGCTCTGTTTCTGAACTGTTAGCAAGCCCCACAAGAATGTGTTCCTTTATAAGAGTTACTGTGGTCACGGTGTCTCTTCATGACAGTAGAACCCTAAGACATCTTCCTAACTCTATGATTCTGATTAGAAGTGGATCTTCTGACTTCAAATTATGTGTGTGTGTGTGGGGGGGGGGGGTTTCCTCACAGGTGTGCCCTCTATTTTCTATTGATTTAATTTTATTTTTTTTTCAAGACAGGGTTTCTGTGTAGGCCTTGGCTGTCTTGAAATTCACTCTGTAGACCAGGCTAGCCTTGAACGACTTACCTCTGACTCCTGAGTGCTGGAAGAGTGTGCCACCACCACCACCACCCAGTGTGTACCCTCCACTTTTGAGTTTTAGTTCCAGATGTAGGTCAAGTCGACAACCAAGAATAGCCATCACATGTTAGTATACATGGACCACACACACAAAGGATCATGGAAATTTAAGAAGCTATTTTCCCTCCTCTAGAACCACAAAGAAAGGAAAGCGTCCATTATAAATCTTTCCTGGCAGTTAATAAGTTATTTAAAACTGGTGCTGGGGCAGCTGCCTTGTGTCTGAAAGACAAAAACACAGCAGTCTGACTGAACACGTCGATTAGTTCTGTGGTTGGGATAACGCACCCCAAGATGAATGTATTTGTGGACAGTGCAATGTGGGACCTTAAGGAAGTGACTGGATCATGGAGGCTCTGACTCCTGATGTGTTAGTCTGTTGAAGTACTCATAACCTGATGGCATCATTGGGAGATGGTAGAAGGGAGGGATGGGGTCTAGGTGGACGACGTAGGGTACTCTGGGCCTGTCCTATAAGGTACCCCTTGTGCTGGTTCCTCTCTCATTCATTATCACCTAAAAGGTGACCAACTTTCCCCTGTCACGGTCTTCTAAAGTGATGTTTCTGCCGGTCACAGGACTATTAAGCAATGGTACCAGTGACCATAGACTCGAACCTCTGAAGCCATGGTCCAAAATAAATCTTTTTTTTTTTTTTTTCAAATTAAGACATGGCCTCAGTATATAGTCCTGGTTGTCCTGAAACTCGCTAGGTAGATCAGGCTGGCCTGCAACTCGCAGAGATCCAGCTGCCTCTGCCTCCTGAGTGCAGAGATTAAAGACGTGTGCTACCATATCTGAGTTTTTTTTCCCCCAAGCAATATGTTTTGATCATATTTTCTCCTCCCCCAACTCCTCCCAGATCCTACCCACTCAACTTAATGTTCTCTCTCAAAAGTGAAAAACAAAAATAACAATACAAAACTGGGTGGTGGCGCAGAGGCAGGCAGATCTCTGTGAGTTCAAGGCCAGCCTGGTCTACAAAAATGAGTTCTAGGACAGCCAGAGCTGTTACACAGAGAAATCCTGTCAACAAACAAACAAACAAACAAATAAACAAACAAACAAATAACAAACCAATAACACACAGAGCCAAAACAAAACAAAATGAAACAAAAAGAGCTCTCCCCCCCCCCACATGCGGTGATACTGTGTTCCCCAAAATATTGTGCACACTAATAAACTTATCTGGGGTCAGAGAACAGAACAGTCACAATATTAAACATAGAGGATAGGCAGTGGTAGCACACACCTTTAATCCTAGCATTCCAGAGGC